TAGTGGTAGTGGTAGTGGTAGTGGTAGTGGTAGTGGTAGTGGTAGTTGCATTTGACTAATAGTCCTCTCGCCCTCATGGCCTGTAAGTCAATAGTCCATTCGGGCTCGAGGACGTCTAATATATGTACATATATAAGTAGATAAATAGCTCAATTTATATAGGTGTTTTCCTAATRCATACCTATATGTGGGACCTTTGCAAGATTGTGCTTGACTCAACTCGTGAGGTACGGCGTTGGACTGTATACTTACAGTCCTACTTTTTTAGACAGTAATCTATTTTTCAAACGGACGAGTTGACTAAGCACTTGACGAGTTGATCAACTTGRCTCAACTTGACTAAGCACTTGATGAGTTGACTCGGGTCGTGAGTATTGGACATGTTTGTCTCCTGTGAGAAACAATTAACACTTATTTACTGGGACCGAGGGAAACAATATGTTTTGTGGTCCCGAGACTCCGCCTCGTGAAACATCAGCGGTCGAGAGACTAAAAAACCTACTGCTTTCCCGAGGCCCCAGTAAATAAGTGCTTTATTATCATACCAAGTGTCAAAGAGAACAAAACAAAAATGGAGAAATGAATAAGATTTTCAATGTTTTTAATACACAACTCCGAAGACTCCATGTTTAATCTGATGTTTTCGTGAAAGAAAACGTGTAAATGAATTTTACAAACGCGCGCTCAAATGTGTTGCTTTCTGGTTTCCGGTTTTTAAATTTTTTCAATCACGTGACTTCCGCTTTTGTTATTCCCGGTCCATAACATAATATTCCCCTCCCGGAATGGTYGCCAGGAAACAGTCGAATTTCTTCACGTTCACGTGACACACTCTCGACCAATAGAAATTGAGGAAAATGGAACTTTGACACTTGGTATATAATATTCTCCGATATTCACTGAGGCTGAGGCAAATAATTGTCTTAGTATAAATACACAGGTGATTCATTCAAGAATAGAAAAAAAAGACGATAAAAGGCATTTTTTTCCCGGTAACAGCAACAAAGCGGCTGGCCGGCGCCATTTTGGATTATCGCTGGAAGTGATTATCGTGTGATAGTGTGAGTTTCTCGACCAATCAGCGCGCGAGATTTTCAATAATCACCTGTGTATTTTTACTAAATATAAATATACTTATTTCAATAAAGTTAGTCACCTGAAAAACTACAAAGCTGAGACCGACAAGGATTATGGATAGATAAATTATACTTGTTTCAAYCGCTTGATAACTGTTGATGGACTTGCACATCTCTTACTCAAATTACAGTCTCACCTCTTCTGAGCCTCCTCAAGCTGCAGTTTGTTTCAAAAAATATATATACTCGTTTGATATGAAACATGATCCTCAGCTTTCTAGCTCGGTTTTCGGTGAAATAACTTTATATTTGTAAAACATATGTTAATGAATTCTGTACTGTATTACGGTAGCTCATATATTTAGTATATATTTTATCCATATTAGATCTTATTAATATAATGTAATTATGTATTTAGTCTTAGTGCTGGTGCATACTATCGCCTGAACCCTTAACCTCAGTACATTAAATAAAATGTGTATGTATGTATGTATGTATGCATGCCAAGTTTGTATGTAGAGAGAAGCAAGCGGCTTAGGAACACGAGGTGTAGCCGATTAATTCTCTTGTGTTTGTTTGTTTTTTTTCGAGTTTTGTCTGGGATGTAAGGACTGGTTAAGTTTTGACTGAACTGTTCGTTTTTCTAACCAAAGGAAGCAAGTGTTTAATTAGTCTTTTCCCCCATTCGTTGTCGTCTTCTTTAACACATTCTGCATGAACCTTTTTCCCGGGTTTTATAGGCAAATTTTTTATGGGAAGCTCATCAACTGTGATGACGGTCAAACACGACTTATCCATTGCGAAGTGTCTGCATACAGCCATATCTAGCTCTGCACGGCAGAACCTGCTCTTCATGTAATTCTCGGATAAAACAGCAACGACCTGTAATATTAATATATTATCATGACGTCATAATGGGGATTACCTGTTTGTTCCGAGCCAACTTTATTAGGGTCCCAGGCACAAATCGAGCATTATAGTTTTTGAACTTTGAAAGGCGTTTATTTGAAAAGTATTTGGAATTTGCGTCGATAAGATGAAATAAAACAAGATAAAAAAAGGTTGTTGTACTGAGTGAAGCCTTATTTCATGAAACGAGCGCCATTTTGTTTGAAAGCAGAGAAGATTAATGCTGTAGAATTAAAGCTGTAGTGTAAATTTTTCAGTATATGCTTTTGATTTAAAAGAAATATTAAAAGAAAAGATATATATTGTTTGGAAGTGAATTCTTGGCATTAACTGTATTGTGTTGAATACATTGTGGCCCGATTTCCTTACCCTCCCCTCCCTCAAGAGTGTTTTTCTTTTTGCATTTGTAGATCCTTTGAGCCATAACATACTTCCTCTCCCTTTCTTCCCTCTAGACAGTTTTTCGCACTTGTAGATACTTTGAGCCATAATACACATTTTTCAAAAAATGTTGTCATCGCCAAAGGCGATAGGCGACCGCTCATTCCGACATGGAAATGCTTTCGTTGGATACAAAGAACATTGAATCAGTCTCAACACTAAGGTCCATGTTCTTGACGAGAATAAGAAGCAGAAACACAAGTAACTCCAGCTATTCTCGGATCTTAGAATGACCTATCTCCTATCGCTTTTCGCCTATGGCGATGACAACGTTTTTTGAATTAGGTGTATCCATCCTCTCCCCTCCCTCACATATAACACAACACACTTACTTGCTTGCAGTTGTATACACTATTCGCCATATTATCCACTATTGTTTTACCGACCTCGAAGTCTTTACTGTGGATCGAGTAAGAAATCTTGTTCTCCTCTAACAATGGCAGTAACTGCTCTTTGACCCATTCGAAATCCTTGCCGTTGTACGAGATAAACAAGTCCCACTGGAGTATCTCTTCGTTGATTTCGTTTCCTAAAAAAAGAAAGGTTCAATTCAAATATTGAAAACGAAAGAATATTGGAGACAGGACTATAGATGCTTTGCACCATCACGTGATGGCAGCCATGACAGGAGGCACAACAATAGATCGAATTTTGTTTCCCTTTGAAACTTGGTTCTTTTTCACGTAAATCAGATTAGGCCAGATTTCATTGTTCCTGCCTTCATGGCTGCAACAGACCACGTGATGGTCCTTAGAAACGAGCAAGAGATTGGGGCGAATTTTTAATTTTAGTCTAATTAGCAAGCGAGTTTTGCCATTTGATAGAGCATCTCGATATTAGTAAGTCTGAAATTTGAACGCGTTTCATTAAAAAATAACCAGAGTTACAAGCCCTCAATTCAAAAGTGTGAAAATTTTACAAAGACTGTTTACAAAGTACAAGGCCCCCGCATACATTCTTTGCAAATTTTTGACACCTTTTGAAAGTTGATAATTCTGGTTTTAACGCTTTGTTGTTCAAGAGGGCAAAACCCTTAAATTTTGCATGGGACATATTATTTAAGCTAAAAATCTACGCCATATCAATCATTTAAAAAAATATTTCGTAGAGAAAGAAAAAATAGATCACTTTTGTAGGGATGTTTGTTCTACTTTATGAGACACTAACAACAACATATATAACAAATACTTAGTGATATCTAAGTAACAAAGAACAATATAAATAACGAATATCACATAACGCTGTGAAATAATATCCTACCTATAGGCATTCTATAGATGGTCTTCTTCCTGTATTTTTTCAATACCAAACAACCAATGGCGACCCCAGCCGTGCAAATGAAGGAGATTGATAATAAAAGGGACAACCATGCATGGTCTGAGTAGATATAATCCAGTAATATATACAGTCAATGTCATTAACGTTGTCCACCGAAAAAAGACATTT